AGAAGAGTGAGATTATGTGAATATATCAGATTGTAGAAGAATCGTGATTGAACATGCCAGCTTATAGAAGAGAAAAGTAAGATTGCTTGAATGTTTCAGTGTGAAAAGAGCCAGAATGTGTATCACAGCTGAACACAAAACTGCCATGTGTTTTTGTAAATAATATTTGTTCAGTGTCATTTCATTTTCTCTCTTTATTCCCCCAACCCCATCCACCCGTTTATTTCTAGAATAAAGAAAGATGAAGAAGTATAGGCAGAATCCATGTAAAAAATAAATTTATATATAAAGAAATCATAAATTTCTTATATTACATATTCATGTCATAATTTTTCTTGTCATGCTTTAAAAAAAAGGTTCACATGGCTTTTGCATAAATCATCAGCTTTTTTCTGCCGAATGTACTTTTTGTCAAGTGTAGTCTGTAGCCTAGACTAGAGATATAACAGGCTTCCTTGGTTGCTAGTTACACAGTGAGTGCCTTTGTTTTGGCTTGCTATGTTTGTTTGTGTTTATTTTTGCTATCCTTGTATATTTTTTTATTAATCAGGCATCTGCTAGAATATGTTAGTTATTTGTGCTCTCTTGGTTGATTGTATTTATTGTACTAATTGTATCTAATGTACAAAATGTCAAGAGATAAAACAAGTACGCACCCTTAAAAAAAAATTTGGGTACATTTTCTTTCAGTAAGAGTTCTTTTCATAAATGATGTGCTTGTATAATGTGTAAACATTCGTTTTCATTTTCTAATAAAATGTTGACTATAAAATTGTTTATTGTTGTATTTCTGCCTTTCTGTCAGCACAGGTTCAGAACAGTACATCGCAACAGTGGTGCTGCAATCCTATATTCTCATTGTGGAAAACTTTTCTGAACACTAAGTGTGAAATCATATTTTAGCTGCCAGTGCAGAGACTGGTAGCAGAATCAAACATGCAACGTTTCCTGGCAGTTCCCGCTTAGGTGATGTGATTATTTATACAATATTTCTGCTTTGGGAGGCAGAAAAAGTGCATGAGGGTTCATCTTCTTCACTTCCTCTTTTACCGCTGTGGGTGTCGGAGATATAAGGTTCTGTTTCTAGCTCTTCTGGCCGCCTCGACCATAGGCACATCGTGCTGTTGTAGAGTTTCTCTGATGTTATCCTTCCATTTTGTTCTTGGTCTACCTCATGCTCTACGTCCTTCTTCTCTTTCCATGTATGCTTTGTATGGTATGGTGTCACAAGGCATTCTCTCTAAGTGGGCAAACCATCTCACTTGCTGTCTTCGTATATAATTTAGAATTAGTTCTGTGCCGACTTTTTCTCTTATGATCTCATTCCTGATCTCATCTCTTATGGTCACTCCTACAGCCCTTCTCAGACATCTCATTTCCATGGTTACTAATTTTCTTTTATGGTTTGTTGTGAGTGACCATGTCTGGCACTGGTAGCACAGAGTTGGAATAAATATGCTTCGAATAAGATGTCTCTTTGTGCTGATTGGGATTGTCTTATGCTGTAAGAGCTGTCCCAATACTTGGTTTACTGCATCTAATGTTAATTTCTTTATCCAATTTCCCATCTTCGGTAAATGTAGTTCCCAGATATTTAAACTCAGATACCTGTTTAATGCCTTTGCACTCTATTGCTGTGTTTAGATCTGTCTTTTTTTTTTCCTATTGACATTACTTCTGTCTTTTCAGTGTTGATTCTCATATTATTTGTTTTACATTCTTCATTCATGGATGTTAGATGTTGTTGCAATTTCATGGCTGTATCTGCTATCAAGGCCTGGTCATCTGCAAAGAGTAATTCGTTGATCTTACTAACATTTTCATTCATGGGCTTGGCATTCTTGCATATACTGTCCATGTAGGTGATAAACAGCAGTGGTGATAAGACACACCCCTGTCTTACTCATAGCATAGCAAAAGTGAATTGATGACCCTTGGTGCTACAAAGCCTGGTATATGACACAACATCTAGTTTGAGAATGGAAGTGGAGGCAGTCACTGCACCTTCTGCTGGCTTGAATGCCAGCTGCACATACATGTTGTGGTTGTAACTGAGAATTTTGAGGAAGGTCTACTTCGTGGAGAGTGGCCAGCATCGCTTGAGAAGTCCTGGAGAGTTAGCATCCTTTGGTTATTTTCTCCAGGACATACAGGTGTGTGGGAAACAGACAGACAGACAAGATTGGCTGGTTCAGCACCAGCTGGTGGTATAGTGATGCATGACAAGTTAGATGTTAGCTGGGTCCAGTCGGAGCGAATGAACTGCGGGGGCACAAATAGATCATCTCTAAAATAAAGGGTGCCAGTGGGGAATGAACAGGGGAACTGGCAGACTTTCGACACTCAGGAGAAAGGCAAGATGAACATGAAATAAAATTGTTACAAGTACTTTCAGAATTGGAACTCTTCTACACTGTCTGCTGAAGATAAGGAATGTCCCCAGTGCTATAAGCTGAGTGGGTGCTGCAAGTCACACTCGCCACTGCTAAGAGCTGTGCTTTCCACGCCTCCCAATAGCACAGTAAAGCACTTCTTTGTCACACTTTTTACCGCTCCGGGTATCGAGGACAATATAAGGTTCTACTTCTTTAGTTCCGGCTGCCTTGGATAAAACCTGGTGCAATGAAGTCGATCCTGTCACCTTCACCAAGGCGTAATCGTTACTGTTGGCATCCTTGCACAGTTTAACACTATAGTCTGGAAAGATGCACACAATAGCATGGAGATTCGGTGATGTGAGAAAGCCATTTGTCTTGTGCTCTGAGCTTCGTGTTCGTTTTTTGGATGATTCGTTCAGTAAAATATCTGAAACCCTCCCCTCACCCCCTTTACAATCCTCGCTGGGAGTCTTCACTTCTTCTGTTACTGCTTCAGGGTCCATGAAGATTACAGTTCTGCTTCTTGCTCTACTGAACATCTCAGCCAGTTGTCCTTTTGTAGTTTCTCTGCTATCTTTCCAGATGGTTCTAAGTCTACCTTATGTCTACAACCCTGTCCTCTTTTGGTGTATGCCTTATGTGTTGTCTCACTATGAGTGCTGATCAGTATATGAGTGTGCTTCTTGATGTGTTGTCTGTTTTCATTTTGTGAAGTATCCCAGCAGCATTCGGTGGTTTACAGATAAGCATTGCGGACCATCCCATGGCAAAAGGCTGCCACAAATCTTCTTTCATTATATCATTTCTCTCTTTTTCCATAAATTTTTTAATTTATCACAAATTCTAGTTTCTTTACAATGCAGTAAACAAAAAACAAAGTCTGCTGCCACATTTTGCTGTCAATAAACTGTCTAAGACTGCTCTCAAATCCAAGCCTCAGACCTGACTACTTACTTAGAGTATGAACTCACTTGAGCATGTGTGATCTGATTGGTTTAATTTGCAGTGAGAATACTGTCAACTAACTAACTCACCAGCCACAAGTCAAGCCGTAAAGTGAACAAACACAAGAACTCCTTATAACATCTTTAATTAACTAAATATTTCAAATGTCAAAAGCTCACATTCACATACACACTGAATGGAACATCCACAATGTAGTTAGTACACACATCTGCAGAGAAGATACCAGCCCATGCTGTCACTTATAGTGGAACCAGCAAATTCAGCATGTGTCACAGTAAATATAGCCAGTTTTTGTAGTAAATTTAGCCACTTTTCCTTTTGAAGACAGGAGTAGGAAAACTGGGGAAATGCTGTATTTTGCTGGCTTCACTGTGCTGCAAAGGCAGTTTCTACAAATGTAATGGAACTGTCACAGAACTATGAGGCACAAATATGCATCAAATATAATTAGCTGAACCATAATAACAACATACAAACACAGGGTTAAATCAGCCGAATCACAACATACAAACATGTTAAACCAGGTGAAATACAGCAGCATTCAAGCAAGCTACACCACATAAATGATAACAACATACACATAAACAGGTTAACCAACTGAACTATAACAATTATCTGGCTAAACAACCAACCTAAACAATGTGTGTGTCTGCTTATGATATCCAATTCAAACTACAACATTAAATGCAAAAGCAGTCATCTGTGAGCTGAACTAGACACTGCATGTACCACAAGTCACCACATGATCAAGCTGTGATTGGTGACCTGTGATCCTCCTGCTTGCCTGCCCTAGAGCAAACTTCTACAACTGTGGGCTGACACTAGAACTGTATGCAACTGAGGGTCACAAAACCACATCTACTCCTCTCAGTACTCACATCCCTCAGTGTCAGATGTGTTGTAATCTATGAATGATGTTTCCCTGCGTTAATTACTCAGAACTAATCGTACTAAGTTTTTGGCTGTATCCAGTGTACACTCCTGTCTTCTTCTATACCCAGCATCTAATTTTCCTACAAAATCCCAAATCTTTAGCTGTGGCTAGTGTATTTCATAAGCCTGCAAGGTTCAGATCTTTCTTTCAATAAACAAGGCATGGGCAAGACATGATCTCCTGAATACTGACCAGGCTTTGTGCTACGAAGAGAAGGAATATACATTCTTCTTAAAAGTCCATGCCATGCGGCGCTGGTATCCACAACCTTCTGTCTCGGGTTCTTTCAATGAACTCTTGACACAGATGATCCTTTTCACTCTGTCTTCCTCTGCCTTTCCTCCCCTTCAACTTTCCTACTGTCACGATGTACTCCAGTTTTCTTCTTCTCATCACATGTGAAGGCAATTATGATCCTGAAATCCGATAAACAGCGGATGATTTTCTTTCCCACGAATGGATCTTGCTGATCCCCACCCTATGTAGGTACAGCACTGCCAAAAACTGTTCAGTTACAGAAATGTGAAAACATCTCTGTTCTGTGCAGGTTTTCATGAATTTGAAATGGACATACTTGCAATAGTTTACCTTCTAACTAAAGGTAATAATTTAATAAACATCAAGAAAATAACATTCTTTCCCTCATACATCTAAATATGTAAGCTTCCAACATTAAACAAGAAAACACTCAGTAAATATATTTTCCTAACTGCTGCCAAATTTTAGAGGGCTGAGCGCAGGGACTCCATCTTTTTGTAAGTTTCTTCACACTTGCCAGTGATAGCACCTTCATTTTCCAGGTACTGGGCTCGCGCCAGCTTGCCAGCGACCAGTTTCTCCGCTGCTGTAATGGCTAGGGCAATCTGTTCTTTGTACAGCACGTCGAGGCGCTGTAGTTCAGAAACCTGGTAGTGAGAGATGATCACATCAAACATCAGCAAGTGAAATCAGCTAAGGGTGTCTGCCCAGAGTTGGTTGTGCAACCAGCTAAGGGTGTCTGCCCAGAGTTGGTTGTGCAACCAGCTATGGGTGTCTGGGCAGACACTCATAGCTGGTTGTGAAATAGGTATGTGTCCTGAGTTGGTTGTGAAACAGCTTAAGTGTGTGCTCTGTCAGTTGTGAAATCAGCTATAAGTGTGTGCCCTGTCGGTTGTGAAATCTGTTATAAGTGTGTGCTCTGTCAGTTGTGAAATCAGCTATAAGTGTGTGCTCTGTCAGTTGTGAAATCAGCTATAAGTGTGTGCTCTGTCAGTTGTGAAATCAGCTATAAGTGAGTGCTCTGTCAGTTGTGAAATCAGCTATGGGTGTGTGCCCTGTCGGTTGTGAAATCAGTTATAGGCGTGTGCCCTCGGTTGGCTGTGAAATCTGTTATCATCACGTGTCATTGGATCACCAGTTTCTGTTGACTGTCTGATCAGCTCTCTCCACCTTTGGCGGTCATTTGCGATGTACTTCATTGTTTCATGACTCTGGTCTGTCCAGTCAGTCAGGTTTTGTAACCAAGTCTTTCTTGATCTGCCTCTTTTCTTTCCCTCTGCTGAGCCCTGCTATAGGTTGTGAAATTAGATACCGGTGTGTGGTCACAGGCTGCGCTGTATCAATGGTTATCAGGTGTCTCAAATGTTAATCATCATTAGAAGTGAATCATCACTGAATAAATGACAACATCACTGACAATAACTATCAGGGAATAACTGACTACCACTGACAATAACTATCAGTGAATAACTGATTACCACTGATTATCTTTCCAGAAAGTCGACTAAGGAACCTTGGAATGAAATGGGATGATTCAGAAGAGTTAATTATGATTAATCAAGAAGTCCTTTTGAAATACCTTTCTGCGACATCTTGAATCTAAATTAGAGTCAGCAAACCTAACCCATTTCTTGTATAAATTAATGTAGTAAATGAACATTCAGTGAGGGGTGAAAAGAATAAGTCAGGGAGAGAGAGAAAGAGTCAACAGGGAACAAAGTGAAGGATGAAGAATGTGAATGAGGGAGAGAGAGAGAGAGATGCACTAAGTGAGGGATGAGGAGAGTGAGTGACAGGCTGTGAGCAGCACATTCAATGGGCACAGAGTGAGTAAGGGAGAGACAAGAGACAAACTGAGTGAGGAATTGTGCAAGCAAGGAACAATGACAGCCAGAAACACAGTGATTAAGGGAGTGATGGAGAATGTGTGCGCAGGAGCAGAGTCAGTAAGTTTGAGATATCTTGTCTGGAAGTACCTTCTCTGCTGCATCAGATCCCTCAGCCTTCAACTGAGCCTGGAGGTTCTGAATCTGCTGTGTCAGCTGCTTGTAATCGGCATCAATCTTCTTGCGACTCAACACAAATGCTGCCAGGTCCTTGCTGGACTTGTACTTATTGATAGCATCATCGTAGCTCTGATACAGTGCACTGCGGCGATCGTGGGCACTCTGGACTTCATCGATTAGGCTAGATACCCGCATGCGGCTTTCCTTGGCTTCATCCTGGGAAAAACAACAGTGAATATAAATTGATAAATAACAAATAAAGGTCTGCATTGGCAAAGAATTAGAAATTTAAAAAAAACAATGTAGGATTATCTTGGCAAATAATCTGATATTAACAACAAATATAGTCTTGCCATGGCAATTTATAGAAATTAACAACTGAAAAAGGTTTGTCCTGCAAACTAAAACTGAAATCATCATTTAAAAAAAAAAAGTCTAACTGTAGATGAGCTAAAGTGTTCAGTCTTTTCACTGTTTAGCTCTCTAGTTGTCCGTGTGGGTTCCAGGGCCACATTATGGGTGAAATCAACAATAGTACTACTGCTTTCCTAACAAGCATGTGAGAGTTGATTAATTAGTGTTTTCCTTCTAAATTGGAATGCATCTGCTTGAGAGGCAAGCAAGCAACAATCTCCGTACAAATAAGCCAGATCTGTAAAACAGATATGCACCAACACTCAAGTTCTGGAGCAAGACCAAAGTCCAGAAGTGGACGAACAACCAGAACTTACCACTGGAGTTTAAAGACAGTGAACTCTAAGAAGATCTTTTTAATCAAAGTTTCTTTGTGTTTAATAACTGTTTAAAATTATCAGAAATTCACTATCATCATGATCACCCGTCTCATGTCATGTCTGTGTTCATGTACCCATAATGCCCTTCGGCCAAAGTAAAATAAAAAAAAAAAAGGATTTAGCACTTTGCCTTTCCCATTAAGTTTGCCAGTTTAACATAACAGGCATTTATCATCAAGCAGCAAGTTTTCTGCAGATTGTTACTATTATCAAAGCATACTGGACAGCCACTCGATCATCTGCCATCCTCAGCAACTTATCAGAAACTTCAGGATGGCACTAGCCTTGATGAAGGCTGTCATGCAGCCCAAATCTCCCCGTGTACACTCCAGCTTTGTCCCAATTGAGGCTGCAACCGGCCAGACCCCACGTCAATAAAAAAGAATGTACAAACGAATCAAGAATCGTTATTTTCGAAGGGTAAAAAATTGGGCACGCAGGCCCATCTTACATATGGCCTTTTCAAGCAATCCTTTCTGACACCATGGATGTTTCCATCTAGAAATATGTGATGATAATACAGCAAGATACAAAACATTAAGAGCAAGTAAAAACACAAAAGCATGTATGGCAAAACGAGCACATTTAAATATATATACACACGTCATCCTCATCATCATTATGTGCTGCGCAGATAAGCACACCCTGTCATACTTCACCATTTTACACATTCACCAGACACACAAATCAGTTCAGGGTTCTTGTTTCGCCCCCATCCATGTATTGATCTTTTTGCCTTACTCTTGCCAGTTGTTGCCAAGTTCTTGAGTCCATTCATTCTCAATATATGTCCAACCAGCCTCACACCCACCCACGTATAATGATAATGAATGGAGACAACATTTACAATGATTGCGTTACCTTGGTGATGGAAAAGTCCAGCCTCACATAAATGATCACGGCCAGAAACAGCAGGTAGAAAGCACCAACAACCAACAGAGGCTCTTGCAGAAGGCGAAGTCTTTGAAACGTGTAGTGCAGCTGGGAATGATGCAGAAAGTCAGATATTCAAACACACATTCTCAGCTAGAGGACAGCTGGTTACTCTGTAACTACAGGATGCTTCTTCTTCTTTTTAAAGTCTATGCCGTGTGGCGTTGGTAGTCATGCCTATCCACAACCTTCTGTCTTATGTACTTTCAGTCAACTCTGGCACAGATGATCCTCCATGCCATGATGTCAAACCATCCAGCATCTGTTCTCTCAGTCTCCCTCTGCCTCCAACTTTCCTACCATTATGATGTACTCCAGTTTTCTCCTCCTCATCACATGAGCAAAGAATGTAGATTATCACTTTCTGATTATGGCAATCAGTTCTTTTTGTGAGTCTTGTTTCTTTCAGGACTTCATTACTCTTTTTATTTGTTCAGGGTATTCTCAACATTCGTCTATAAAACCACATCCCAGGATGCTTCAGTGCAACAAATTTTTTTAAATACATTTTTAATAACATGGAGTCTGGGATTAGCATCTCTAAAGTGACTGATTCAGTCACTGAGTGTCAAACTGGGATTGGCATCTCTAAAGTGACTGATTCAGTCACTGGGTGTCAAACTGGTACTGGCATCTCTAAAGTGACTGATTCAGTCACTGGGTGTCAAACTGGTACTGGCATCTCTAAAGTGACTGATTCAGTCACTGAGTGTCAAACTGGGATTAGCATCTCTAAAGTGACTGATTCAGGCACTGGGTGGCAAACTGGGACTGGCATCTCTAAAATGACTGATTAAGTCACTGAGTGTCAAACTGGGATTGGCATCTCTAAAGTGACTGATTCAGTCACTGAGTGTCAAAACAGGATTGGCATCTCTAAAGTGAACTGATTCAGTCAATGGGTGTCAAACTGGGATTGGCGTCTCTAAAGTGACTGATTCAGTCACTGGGTGTCAAATTGGGATTGATCCAACAGGGGCTCTAGGACTACTTTACTGCACATGCAACATCACAAGACACAAACCTCAAAGTCTTGGATGTGCTGCTTCAACAGGGGCTCTAGGACTACTTTACTGCACACGCAACATCACAAGACACAAACCTCAAAGTCTTGGATGTGCTGCTTCAACAGGGGCTCTAGGACTACTTTACTGCACACGCAACATCACAAGACACAAACCTCAAAGTCTTGGATGTGCTGCTCCACCACCAGCTCTAGGACTAATGCACACGCAACATCACAAGACACAAACCTCAAAGTCTTGGATGTGCTGCTTCAACAGGGGCTCTAGGACTACTTTACTGCACATGTAACATCACAAGACACAAACCTCAAAGTCTTGGATGTGCTGCTTCAACAGGGGCTCTAGGACTAATGCACATGTAACATCACAAGACACAAACCTCAAAGTCTTGGATGTGCTGCTTCAACAGGGGCTCTAGGACTAATGCACATGTAACATCACAAGACACAAACCTCAAAGTCTTGGATGTGCTGCTCCACCAGGTTTAGCTTGTGGAGAACAACCACGGGTCTGCCAAGAGTGTCCAGGTAGGTGTAGTGAACATCATCTCCTCTCCTCTCCACATCAAAGGGGACTTTTAGCTGAATGTCTCTGTGTACACGGAGAAAGAGTTCATTATAAAATCTCTACTGCTAAATTAAAGCTATAGGGAAAATTGTGTGTCCCCCTGATTGTGCCCTCCCATTATTTCCATATCCTGTTCATTCAGCCTGTTACATGCCTTATCCACTTTTACATCGGTAGTTCACTGTCTACCCATCTTAACATGAACTAAAATTACTCTCTCATATTAGATAAAATGACATGGTCTAATATTCTTTGCACTTCTCTGTTACAATGTGTGCAAATTCTTGGTTCCTAACCTCTCAGGCAGATGCCTTCTGACTTCAAAGGAAACCTCAACCCTATCTATGATTGTCAGACTAGGATGACGGTACAGGCGGTGAGCAATTTGTGCTCTAGTCATGCTGCATCACAATGTGTGGTTCAGCACCTCTGCATCCCATTGAAGTGAATTAGCAATCAGCAAAACAAAAACCATTGTTAATTCTTCTTGTGTTCTAATAAGGGCTTATCACATGGGTTTCCAATGGCAAAGCTGTTCAGAAGGGGAAGCATCTCCTTTTAGACTCTGCCCTTCTGTTTCAACAGATGCTCTGCTGACAGGCCGAGAGATATATGGACTGAAACCATGTGCAATAAAGATGATCCTCCCAAAATAACTTGAATCGTTTCACCTCAGGGAGACAAAAGCTATGATCCTGGGAATGTATCCCAAAATATCCTCAACAACAACTGATTCACACTGGTCACCAATACATTTTGTTTATTTATCCATTTGTAATGTCAAATTTATTCTTTGAAACAAATGAAAGGGAGTAATCAGTGAATACAAACCGAGTGGAGAATTGAATGGATTTCCCTACTTAAGGCCTAAAAAAGAAAATTATATTTGCTGACTCATAACTTTACCATGCCACCCTGCCGCTAAGAGTCAAGGCGAATTATGATGTCATGATGACCTTTTAAAAAGCCTTTTTTTCCAGCCAAGCTGATCTAGCAGCCAAGATCAATTATCAACGTTCACCTTGATTTAGATTCAAACTCAGGAATTTCTGGTACAGAGGCAAACGTCCAGCCATGGGGAGGGGAGGGGATGTATGTATGTGCACGTGCGTGCATGTAAGAAGTAATTGTGAAAGACCCTTTTATTTCCACCTGCGGTACATGCACAGGATTCTAAATTGACATAACTACTGACCTCTCAAAACACAACCGGTTATGTGGTCAACACTAAACAACATCATTCTCCAGGAAATTACATGGTATCTACTTTGTGTCAGATTGACTAGAAGTCAGGGTCGAATTTTTTTTTTTTTAAATCAATCTATCTAGATGCAGATTTGACCAAAGACCTTCAAGACAACAGGCATGTGTGTAGCCACAATGCTACTGCAACTTCCATGTGCATGTAACAACTTGTTATTCACTATCAGTCTAAAATACTATATCTAGAGAAATGTTCTTGTTATTTGCTTACTTTGCTCCTTCGGGCAAGATGATTTTCAGAAGCACTTCATCCACAACCATGTCATCATAGATGTGATCAATGAAGCGTATCTTCAGAGCATAATGGTCACCTGAACATAAAAAATTGAAAACAATGAATGCAAGAAGACAAGTTCAATTATTCAGAGCTTAAGCTATCTGACTATAAAACTAAATTAGAAATTCACTTTTGTTTCTTGTTCCCTTCTAGTTGTGAACTTCCCTAGCAAAAAAGCTGTGTCTTCAGCATGCACCTGCATGAGGTTCTGGTGCAATTGGATATCCTCCCCTGACACACACAACTTTCCACCAAACCACTGGCCTCTGTGAAGACAGGTATGACTGGATATCCTCCCCTGACCCACACAACTTTCCACCGAACCACTGGCCTCTGTATGATTGGATATCGTCCCCACCGAAATGTTAACTGGCCAGACCTGGGATCTCTCAACTGCATGTAAAGAGCATGTTTACAGCAAACATTCAGTATTCTCCACACTGGAAAAGTTCTGAGTCCCCAATCTTACATCTCCTGTGCATACGGCTGCAGAGTCTGTTGTGTCAGGTTTACTTTCTCTAGACAGATTTCATAAATGACAAATATCTATACTTACCAGTCGGTATGGATTCTGATCTAAAAAGCTGATCAGGTAACAAAGTCTCAAGTCCCCACAATGAGGTTCTTATGTTAAATGTTTACAAAAGCTTAATGAGATTCAACATAAAGCCAGCTGAAATTCCTAGACAGTGACATAAATAGGTCTCCCTGATAAAAGTTAAAATAACAGGCATGCACACCATTTTCAAAAGATTAATTGGTCAAAGAATTGAAGCTAATCAGCTCACCTTTGTTAAAAAGGTATTCATAACTAGGCACATTGTAGCCTAGGATGTATCTGGTTTTCCAGCCTCCAAACAGGGGGAACCTGGGACGAAGCTCTACCTCTACGGACTCGTCAGACTCCCTCAGGTTAGATGTGGAGATGTTGCCAATCTCGTCACGGTAGTACACATCATGTGCCGAGGCTGGCAGGGAAGTCTGTCACGAGATCAAATCATGAAACAGTCTCTGATAAAACTTTAAAAAAACTGATACACCATGTTTTTGACACCTTTCTTTTTTTTCCCCAGAAGACAGTGCTCCACTGTGCTATAGTGAGGCATGGGATTCACAACCTATGGTGGCAGCAATTGAGTTATGAGTTGTATTATCTTCACAGCATTCCGGAAAAATCCATAGGTACTCAAGATTTCCCTCTCAACATATTCATCAGCGCTGCGCGGTTAATAGTGCCAGTCCTATGCTGGTTGACAAGACTTTGTGTGCATCCGGTCTGCTTCTCACGCTTGGCTCCCAATTCTCATATTGTTAGCAGTGATGTAGACCCGTTGCTTCCAAAATCTTTGGAACGTCTTATCTCTCCAAGGGCACTGACAATGTCTGCATGACCCATAGACCAGCCATCTTCAATTAATGCGACTCCTGCCAGTCTATCAGCTCTTTCATTACCAACAATACCTGCATTCCCTGGGACAAGTAGGAAGGTAACTGCACACACAGGAGAGTTTTGCAGACTCAATCCACTGTCTACATAACCAGCCTGCCCCAACCCTCTGGATCATGCTCAAAGAATCAGCACAAACACGCGGGAATAGTCCTGTGATTCTAAAGAGGTTCCTCCTCTCCATAGCACACAGCATGGACAGTATTGTAGAGACCATGTGTTGCCCATGTAGTATGATTCCATTCTCGGCCTGCTTGGTTTACAACAGATACCTAAAGATGGATATCAAATCTTATGGCAAACTGTTGGCTTCATTCACCAACTCTAGGCCTGCACATTTCAACTGACATTGACTAAACTTGCTGTCTGCTTGCTCTCACATCAGATCTTTTTAGGTGTAGCGCTTAGTTTGGTGGTAGTTGTACATTATTATGAGATTTGATTTTCTTCTTCTCCATGAATTTTGTGTAAGCATAGTCTGTCCGATAGTATCATTTCCCACTCGTTCTAGATGGTTACGGTAATGTTAGGTTTAGTAAAATTCTTTATGGTTTCTGAACTATAACAAATATCTTGTGATTCAAATTTAGTTAAAGTACCTCAGGATGGTTAACTATAGCAAAATTATATGTACATTATGGTGTTTGAATTATAGTGAAAGTGTTTTAGTGTTTCAATTATGATGATACCTTAAAGTGTTCAATCATTGTTTCAATTATGATGATACCTTAAAGTGTTCAATCATTGTTTCAATTATGATGATACCTTAAAGTGTTCAATCATTGTTTCAATTATGATGATACCTTAAAGTGTTCAATCAGGGCTTATGTTAACAACTAACAACTTTTTCTGTGTTTGCCCTTAAAACAACAGTAAGAACACTGTGATTGTAATGTTGTGAATTCCCGGGGAAATCCCAGAGAGTTCCTGATGGGGAGGACAAGGTCAGAGGACCAGTGATACAAGAGAAAAATGAGATAAGTGGGTCTCGTGTATCCCATGGTGAGCGAAGTAAGGGATACAAGAAAAGCATGAGACTGGAACGGAAGACGTGAACCGAGAGACAGGAGTAAGACAGTTGAAGTTCGGACCTGGTGGCGAGAGGTCGTATGAATGAACACCTGAGAAGAATGAAGGAATTGTGAATAATTGTTATGTTTCGAGAGGAGAAATGAATGTTTTCCACATGTCTTAATACCGAGTACAAGGTTTCGTAAAGGATGGATGGATGATTCGAAAGACGCTGATGGATTGAAATAGTGTGTGAGAAGTTTGACCAGGCCGCCAGAATCAGCCAAGCAGAACGAACACGAGGACGCGAGAATCTGTGCCTACGATATGTTGTGATTCAGCGAATAAAAGCATGTAACTCCATATTCGTCTCTGCTGTGTCGTCACAACTTACTGTTTCTCAGAAAGCAATGTGGCTTACCAAAACATACCCCTAGCAGAGCACATTGCAGTGATGTGATTTACAGCTAGGTCACCGAACACATCCAATTTCAGCAGATCCTTAATTATTCAATTTTTATGAAATGTCTGTTAAAGACCAGTCTATTCTTTCTCCTTCCAACATGGGATCCTAAGCCCACACAGGGATGTACCTACAGTGACATTACACTTGTCTCTGGAGTATTTAACAAGTAAATTACCATGTTTAACTATGATAAAAGTACTTTAATGTGTGTGAACTACAGTGAAAACAGTTTACAGTGCCTGAACTATGACAAACAGTACCTTAAATTGTTTGACTGAGGCATAACCATCCTGCTGCCTCTGGTAATCAAACCTAGAGAACGGTCCCTTCAAAGTGGCCCCAGTGTGTCTGACATCAACATGCTCTTCCACAGCAATGTTGCCCCAGTGGGACACTTCCACAAGCCGCTCCAAGTAGGTCACAGTCAGGAAAGGACTGTTGTTTTCCTCGTGGACTCTCAGTGGTGCCTGGACAAAAAACAAGATGATAATCGTAGATTAGAAACTGCAACGCATTTTACAATAATCTGTCCAAAAAAATTATTTAATTAAAAAGACTGTCCAAAAAATTACATCACAGAGTTTAACTAAACATTTATCGTAGCTGAAACAGTCTTTCAGCAAAACTATTTTGAGAGGGATAAAAGAGAATAAATTTGTATTCAAATACAGATATGTGAAAATCATGTTTGGGCCAGTGGTGACGATACAAATAATTATGGAAAAACTGGCAGATAAAAAAGCAGATAATTATTAACTGAGTGGTTAGAGTACTGGGCTCTCAGGCAGACGACCTAGGTTTGATGCTCAGTAAGGGAAGGGATTTGTTTCTGGCTGAGGCAAGAAATTTTTTTTTAACCTGCACAGTTCGTGGCAACTGCACTAGCCATGTAGCCTTAAATCCTCAGGCTCATATTCTGTTGTCTTAAATCGCCCTAAAAGTGGTAAACAGACAGCTATGCACTACTACTAACATACCTCAGAAAACGGAACTGTGTCTTCAAAGGGTCCATAGTTAATGGTAGTGTCACTCTGGGAGACAGGTTTAGTCTTAGTGTAAGACTCAACATTAGTGTTTGCGGTGATAACTGTGGTTGTCTGGCTGGTGGTTGGGTATGGAGAATAGAAATACAGGTTTGTCTCCAGCACTACAAGCTGTTTCTCAGCCTGCAAAAAGTATCAACAAAATCATATTTAAAATACAGCAAACACAGCGTCCATGATCATTTATCTGCTACAATTTTTAAAATGTGTACAAGTGGGGCACAAATGATATAAGTAATGAGGTGGATTCATGGGAATGGGATTTCATAGACTGCACTATGTGAAGGGGGAAATTAGCAAAGGTATAGGGACAAAGGAGAAAAGAATTGCAGACGGGTTAGGAGCCAAGTGTCTAAGAAACTTGTCATAATACACACTGCTATTCCCCTTGGGATTATTTCTACCATCTTGAAATGGGAAGATATAAAACTGAACAAAAAGCAGATCAGCGAGCCTCACAATACAACAAACACAGACACAAAATGTGAACGTTTTCATCTTGACAAAGCAGTCACCTTCCTTCTATCTCTGAGACTTAATTAATAGTACAAAATGACAGCCTGAACACACATTCAAACATGTATCTACAGTACAGCAAGATAAATTCACACCCATTATTTAATCTTATTTTAATTTTCTCTCCCCCAGCAGTTTTCAGGTGAGGGCACAAGCTGTTCTGCAAGACATGACCTCCCCAGATCCATACAGCTTGGATGTCACCAGAGTGTCAACTGACCAGACCAGGTTCTCTCTACTGCATGCAGGCAGCCAGTTTATTACAATACACTTTCAGTTATCTCTGGTGTCTGTCAACACAGACCAGGTTCTCTCTACTGCATGCAGGCAGCAAGTTTATTACAATACACTTTCAGTTATCTCTGGTGTCTGTCTACACAGACCAGGTTCTCTTTACTGCATGCAGGCAGCAAGTTTATTACAATACACTTTCAGTTATCTCTGGTGTCTGTCAACACAGACCAGGTTCTCTCTACTGCATGCAGGCAGCAAGTTTATTACAACACACTTTCAGTTATCTGTGATGTCTGTCAACACAGACCAGGTTCAGAGCTTCCAAACCTGAATTTTCTGTACATATGGCTGCAAAACCTGATGCGTCCAATCTAAATACAATGTTCTGTTTCTTTCATGCAAGGAGGTTAACTGGGTCTTCAGGACTGTTTTCTGGAAGGGAACACGATAGATACAGTACAGCATGGTAACTATGCTGTCGTGTGGGAGCTACACGCCAACCTGTGGATCCAAAAGTATTGGGTGAGCTAGGAGTTTTTTTTTTTTTAAACAGACAATGGCTCCAAGTCCACCCTTGTTGACCACATCACCCAATGAGTGCGGACTGGTCTATAAAATAAAGGTTTAGCCCTATATGCCCGAAAAAGGATCTTTTACTATAACTTTAAACAAACTATTCAAACTAAGAACATGACATCTGCAGCCAACATTATCACCTGCGTAATTGATGAAGGGAATGGTGTCAATACATGGGTGTACACCGCATCAACATCAATGGACACTGTTTTACCAGCCTCCAAGGAAGATGGAAGAGCAACACGGTAAAACCTCTTGTCACTGAAATCCATACAGATTATATTGAAATGTTTTTCAAAGCATAAAATTTTAGAAACAAATAACTAGATATTTTAAAAGATTTATGATACTGTAAAGTCAAAAACTATGCATATTTATCTAATACATATATTTTATAAGAGCTATGTGAAATCAATCAATATTCGCCACCAACATTCAACACACACGTCATACAAATGACTAAAATACCTATGACCAGGGACGTTTGTTTCCGAAACTTCAAGCTTGTCGCTTTTGTGATCTTTGACCTAAAAAAAAAGAGACAACATAAGACAGTAACAAATTAACTGAGTATTCTTTGTGTATGCACTGTTGAGAATGGGGAGAGCAAGAAACACTTTCTTAAATATTTTTTGTGAGGAAAATTTACAAATCCGATCAGTCTTGCTCTGTGTTTCAGGATCAGTATTTATCCAGTCAAATACACCTCAAATCTAAATAAATAAAGAAGAGTCAATGGGATACACAAGACAAGAGTCAATGGGATACACAAGACAAGAGTCGATGGGATACACAAGACAAGAGTCTATGGGTTACATAAGACAAGAGTCAAATTAAAAAGCAACATAAAGGCTTCTATTTATCAGCCAACATTAAGTGTATACCCTTTCAGGAGCAAATAACTCCTCGTGTTTCCCGATGACTCTTCACCTGGCCTGCATTCTGCAACTTCTTAGTTTTCTGCTGCATCAAGTCATTGGAAACTCTGAGGGGCTTATATCTAGGATATGTTCGCTCTGTGATAGAGTACAACAACTCACTGCTTACAACTTGCTCCAAAACTAACCTAGAGACTCTTGACAGAGTACAAAATAATGCCCTCCGATTAATCTGCGGAGCTATGCAGTCTACACCAACTGCTGCATGTGAAATCCATACAAACGTGGAACCCCTCGGGTTGCGGAGAGAAAAAGCCACTTTAGAAATTTATGAAAGATGCGTTAGGAAAAATCGTAACCATCCTAACAGACATCTTGTAGAAAACTGGGAACCCAAACAAAGAATAAAGCACAAATCGGTTTTACACTGTGTTAATGAAATTCAGGACAGATACCACCTCCCAGAAAGACGTCAAGGAATTCAGAATGTTGCAAGAAACCTACCACCACATGCTCGCTTTAAAGCTCCAGAAGTCCGAACTAAATTGGTAGGCGAGGAAACCAAACAGTCCGACCGAATCGCTCTTATGAACTCATCACTAAAGACCGTTGATTCTTACCCCCAAGAATGGATACATGTCTATACTGATGGATCAGCATTTAAAGCTACCATTAAAGCAGGTTACGGAATCTACATAGGTTATCCAGATGGATCTGTTGAAGAGATTTTAGATGCATGCGGGAAATTCTGTACAAACTATGAAGCTGAAATAATTGCACTGGAAACAGCAGTATACCACCTAAAGACTGTAATGGATGTTTACCCTTCAAAGGTCCAAAATATTGTCATCTTCACAGATTCAATGTCTGCCCTTCAAGCTCTGGAGGGCAGTGAACGCTGCAGAACGGATATAGCCAAGATAATCCTGGATGCTGATCAGCTTATTACCTCATACAACATCAGAATAGTGATGCAGTGGATTCCAGGTCACTCCGGCACACCAGGTAATGACAGAGCTGACAGATTGGCAAAGAAAGGAGCAACACAAGAACAACAACCTACAGCGACAACCCTCCAGACAGCAAAAAACACCGATAAGAGCTATAAACAAAGAGACTTGGTTGAACAGATAGGCCATAGGAGACACTGGAAGAGAGGTTTATAGACATATGTCTGGCCCTGATCCTAATGACAGCATTAACCATCTAACAAGAAGGGACCAGGCCACAATCTTCAGACTTAGAACGCAACATACTCCACTCAATGGTCACCTAAACAGAATACAGCCACAACACTCCCCAGAGTGCCAGCTATGTAACTACCCCTACGAAACTGTTGAACACCATCTCTTTGAGTGCCCAGAACTCAGTGAGACAAGAAGAACGCTACTCCCTTCGAGACCAGACAAGTGGAACACCTTGTACGGAGGAAAAGAACAGCTTGTGAAAACATGCAAATTCCACTACATGGCATTTGGCCAAAGGGCGAAAGCTCATGCGCCGCTGGATCGATAACAACAACATCAAGTCATACTACCCCCAACCGTTACTGTCAATCCTTCTGACACAGAACTATTCCTTCAACTCATGAGCACTCAAAGACTGTTCCTCTAAAGAAGCCAGTTTTGTAGTAACAACAGCTTGGGGCTGAGAGAGAGTTCAGTGTGCATATGCTCGACATCCAGAACTGTTTATTGTTAAGAATTGGTGAAATTTTTTTGAATTCTTCGCCGGATTCACTAACTTCTTTGGTACCATCCTATAGTTACTTCGAGGCTTATCATTCAGTGAACTAAATTGAAGCCGCCAAAGTTTAGATCTCAAAGAGTCACAATTAGAGCCATAGGGCAGAAACAGATAACCAACAGTTCTAAAAGTACTAGATAATGTCGCATAAGTCTACAGAAGAAAGTAAGAGAAACAACTTTTCTTTCGACGTACCCAATGAATATATAACCAGACAGAAGTGTTAATTAACTTCAGTTAACAGTGTGTATTGGGAGTGGGGTGTCATGTCCATGACTGGGTCACGCAAACATGTTGTGAACACAAAACACAATGGGCTAAATCAAACAGCATGTGTTGTGATATTTTCAGTCAAGGTAACATCTGATATTCACTCCTGCTGGCAACAAACGGTTTACATTTGTTCAAATTAGCTGAATGATATTAAACAGTAGTAATGTGTTACATGTCAGTGTCTAGTGGCTTAGGCTCATGAATGCAGCTACGTAATCCTGACATACCAAGGTTCCCAGTCCACTCGATAGCAGACCACTTTGCATTGATTTCAACAAAAGTATGATCATTCATAAAGTAATGGCAAACTACTGGACACCGCCTAGTAAATCCACACAACAGCCATTTAATAACGTGACAGTATGATTAACAAGTTAGCAAATATTAGCACTCAGGCAAATAATCAGAGATAGGAAGGAGTAGGGCTTTTAATGTTGGTATGCAACAAAACACAGTACAGGCACCTTTCTGGCTATCTTCCGAATAACGGTCCCAAATTATCGAGGCAGAAAATATACCCTAACAGAGCCTCAGTCACGTGTCAATTGCGCACTTCCGGGAACTTAAATTGCGTACTTCTGGCTACTTGCACCACTGCCGAGAGTATCCCCCACGCCGCGGATTTGGGCTAAACTAGATGGCTGGGACTCATGAGCAGCAGCTACCGCATTTCCTGCAGCTGCCTTCATTCAATTTGCTCATGAGTCCTAGCCATCTAGTTTAGCCCTAATCCACGCCGCTCACGCGGTGTGGGGGATACTCTCAGCAGTGGCGGTATAGTCCCCGGAAGTACGCAATTCGGCGGTGGCGGTCTAGTCCCCGAAAGTGTGCAAAGTCCCCGAAAGTGTGCAATTGACACGTGACTGAGACTTTGTTAGGGTATATTTTCTGCCTCCATAATTTAGGACAGTTATTCGGAAGATAGCCCACCTTTCTAATTAATTCTTATACAGTGATGAGTACCATCCCGTCTTCCTAGAAAAAAGCCCAAGAAAGGAGGATATGATTCTTTCTAGGAGTGCAAATCAATAATTGTCCCATGGTTTCTCATGGGTTTAACCCCTCCCCAATTATTTAAAGCGTTGGAGATGGTTTGCATATTTTAGGATCATGATCATGCAACCAACTGGCAACTTTTTAAAGTCAATTTTATGTTACAATTTTGAGTTTTACCTACTATTTGTCTTGTCTCTTAAAAATCCAATAATTTATAATACAGAGAACACACAGCCCCTCGTTTAGCTTTATTTACTTACAGAAGCACTGATATAAGAAAGACTGTCCTTCAGTGTAGGATCCACAGCAAAAAGGAAATGTCGAACGGCCGACGACCCTTTATTTGTCAACGTTATGGACGTCACCGTCTTCAACAAATGGCTGGAGATATCTAGTCTCCTATCCACTTTTGCATTGACGATATTACCGTCTATTGTGTCCTGGTTCACTTTGCAGTACGCGGACACGAAGAAATGCAGCAAGAGTAAAGTTAGGAGTCTTGTCTTCATGTTGCTAACAGATATTTCGGCGGTTATGAAAGCCTGGTGACGAGGTTGAGTAGCCGGCGAATCGTTACCTTCCACGAGCAGACGCCACAGGAAGTTTCCAAACTCGCCTAGTTGGCATAGGTTGTTGCAAAAGCGGCACCACAGTAACACACGAATAAAAATTTCATAAACAGTAGGTTTTTTATTTATTTTTTGAAGTCGATGGTGATAGTTATTCCATTTTAACAATTACATAAGAAGTTAGAAAATTGCTGTTAATATGTTTTATTTTTAAATAATTCCAATTTGCTTTTTTTGAAAAATAATGTTGCATACTTTGTTTCATTGAATGTTTAATTGTAAAATTAATGCTACTTCAATTGCACTTTCTTTCGTAATGAGACCTCTGTAAATCTCTTTAGTACATCTTGTGATCTCTCTCTCTCTCTCTCTCTCTCTCTCTCTCTCTCTCTCTCTTTCTCTCTCTTTCTCTCTCTCTCTCTCTCTCCTTCTCTCTCTCTCTCTCTCTCCTTTAATAATAAAGTTCGTTTACTTTCTCGGTCTCGAAGAGTCATTATCAGGCGTATTGATGTAGTTGACCACGCCCTTCTGTAGCTGTAAATATAGTCTAAAGATGGACGTGAGTTGACAAAGTCATTAATTTATTGCTACTGTATTTCGTGTCTAGGTCAGTTATATAGGTCTGCTATTCAAATAGCGAGATACACAACAACGTCCCAGTATGGGACTCAATTTTTCGTTATTTGAAAGCCCCACTCCGGTAGTTGTCGGGGACCCTAATATAACTTGACCTATTGGTTAAACAGGGTTTCTGTGACCTTTCCCCGGGTGATCCTCGTCCGAGTGGTGGCACTTTGTGTCACCGGGAGCTAATTGCTCGTTGTACTGTCCTGGTGGGGTTGAACGCAAACTGGCGGGACGAATATGATCCGCAGTGACCCGAGATCATAGCTGGATTGTATTAATGACCTTCTACGCTGGGACTCGGACCCGTGACTTGAGTTAATTCAAGAACAGACATTTCGACACTCAGGGCATTCCCATGAGCGCTTTGTCACCATCTTCAGCAGCCAGAACAGAGTTCCAATATCAATGGTTCTAGTAGCAGTCTGATTATATGTCTGTCTTGCCTTCCCTCTGAACGTCGAGTATCAACCAAATCACCTCGTCACTCCTCGCTGCATCACTCTCACCAGACTGTGATGATTCATTTGCTGTTCCGAATTGTATATGTGCTCTCATAAGGTCTCAACCATGTATGTCTTATCATGCATCAATATTCCATCAAGTTGTGCAGAGGCAGCCAGTCTGTCCGCCTATTCATTTCCCAGGACATGGGCATACCCCAGAGAAAAGATCCAGACAATGCCATTCACCGTGACCTCTGAAGCGAAACATGCCTCTCATCACCTCCTCGGCATGCTTGCTGAGTCACAATCAAGACGCGCGTGCTTGTGTGTGTGTGTGTGTCATGTTCTCTAGCCAATGGAAGGCTGCAGTGACCGCCTTCACCTCCATTCTTTAGCTGGATGTTGTGGTATCATATGCTAGGCTCTCCTGCACCAAACATCGACCATTAGCTTTTACTAAGAACCCCCAGGCACTTCTTAACACTGAATTTTCGTATAAATAATCACGTCACCTGATAAGCATTATCCTGAATTAATTAATTAAAGGTGATCTGTGTCTGCAGCTACTCTGAGGTATGACTTCACCTGCAGTACATCGAGCCAACCTGCAACAGTCAGCAAACCAGGGATTATCACATACACATTACTGGGGTCTCTGGTCCATCACAAAATGACCCACATAGCTGCGTTCAGTATGCGCTCTAGTTTAAATAGTTGACAATTTGAAACATTGAGCAGCCCTAGTCCATATTCAAACACTGAGAGGACCCAATTCTGATATAGTGTGAAAAGCATTCTCTGCTGAATGTCAATTGCAGCCATAGTCTAAAGAGCATTGAATCCCTTTTAGCATCTTGTCACCACCGTCTCCACATGGTCCTTGAAGGATAGGCTCCAGTTAAATATGATTCTCAGATACTTCAGTTCTCTCTCTCTCTCTCTTTTCTCTCTCGCTCTCTCTCTGTGTGTGTGTGTGTGTGTGTGTGTGTGTGTCTGTGTGTGTGTGAGTGAGTGAGTGAGTGAGTGAGTGAGTGTGTGTGAGTGAGAGTGAGTGAGTGTGTGTGTGTGTGTGTGTGTGTGTGAGTGAGTGAAATTTTCTAACATCTATCATGACACTTGGGACATCAGCTCTAACAATCCTGTTATCAAGAGAGCACCACAAAACAAAAACCTTTTCTGGGTGGAGGATAGAATTTGTTTCTGTACACCACTCAGTCACCTTCTCTACTGTCACCTTTATCTCTTGGACTGTTTCTTTCCTATCTCTCCCTGCTTATAAGTGAGAATATGAACACAGGGAGCTAAAAAAAAAAGGCACAGATAATGAACAAAAAAAAAAGACCTTATTAAACCATGTATTTACTGATTTTAATTCTTCTTCATGCACTTTGTTTATTACAAATGCACAAATTAATTTCAATGAAAGAAGTAGGAAAAATAAGACAAAAAAATATCTATACAAAATTCACATAAATCTTATTTACTAATTAAACAATGCATTCTATTAGTCTTTTCCTTTCATATATTCAGGGGAAAGAATCAATTACAAGATGAACTGTGAAGTGTAGTCATGTGGTCTTTACTGCCTGTGGTCTTCTATGGTGACTTTCAGTTAGAAAGCATTATAGGCAAATAGGGGATGGTGTTGCGGTGAAGAAAATAAATAACATCACTGTTAAAACAAAAAGGAAAGTGAAGGCAAAAGATTGGTGGTAAATATAGTTTGTGTTTATAAAAGAGAAAAGAAGTGTCATCACAGACATCTAGGAGTGGGACACAAATAGATCAATGGCTGTGAATCCTCTGAATTTTTATTCTTCTTCTCTTGCAGCTATCTTCCTCCCTCCATTTCTCTCCCTCTATGTCTCTCTCTCTGTTTCTCTCATATATACAGTGCAAGCTGATTAAGGTGATCTCAGATGTGGCAAATTTCTGTTTTGAAGAACAATTTGTTCATCCCTGCAATCTTTTTTGCATGACATCTTATCTAAAAAGAGGAATATCTGATAAGAAGAATAGTTTCTTGGTCCCTGTGAGTTCTCCTTATTAGGTTTGCACTGTATCATAATGTACTTTTGCTGGTTCGTCCAAAGAAAGAATACTTCAAAAAAAATTTTTTTTTTATTCAACTGCAGACAATTGGTACATTAACCCACTCTGTCTGAATTGCTATTTTTTTTATCTCTTTCTGACTTATAGTCTTTTTAGGCCACAACACTGGGTGCTATAAAAAGTACAACTTCTCTAAACAAAGACAGTTAATGTAAAAGTGGCTGATTTAAACAAATTAAAAAAGAGTCAAGACTGGTATATTACTGGTGATCTGCCACTTCATCCTTACTCACAAACTGCAAGTTACACCCTGTAGAATGCCACTCAGATGTGAAGTACCTGAACCAGTCTTGCACACACCTCTAGTTTCTGAACTTATAGAAGGGAAGGTTAATTCTGCAACACTGTTACTATGGATATGGTAATTTGGTACAGTTCTGAGGAAGGAAAGTTTGTACACAATCATCACTGTTAATTCGAAGTCTTCTTCAGGTTACCTGAATTCCAAGGTACTGAATTTAAAGACTGATACTCACTCTTACAGTCTTCTCAAAATCCATGCCATACAGCGCTGGTAATCATGTCTATCCACAGTCTACTGTCTTGTATACTGTCAATCAATTCTGATACAGACGTTCTTCCATGCCAGGATGCCGAACTGTCAATCATTTGTTTTCTTGGTCTCCTATGCCTCTCTTTCCCTCCAACTTTCCTACTTTTATGACGCACTTCGGTTTTCCTCGTCTCTTGACATGACCAATGAATGTAGATTGTCTCCAAATGATGCAGATAACCAATTGTCTTTGTCAGTTAATTTCTCTCCAGATGTCTTCCTTGAACTGTTTATTGAATCTTCCTATAGTGTTCCCACCATTCTTCTATAAAACCATATTTTTGCTGCAATGTTTTCTGACCGTTTAAAAATTCATTATGACTTCACATGCATGCACTCTGTATTGATTTTTGTTGTAAATGAATAGGCCTGAATGGGCATTTGCTGAAAAGTCTTCTGATTGTGTGAAACGTCATTACAACTTCATAACGAAATCTGGCTAGGCCAGACTTTTTAATATATACAGTAGGAAGAGTTGCAGAGAGTGATCAGATCCAAAACGGGAGGTTTAGGGTGTGTGGAAAAAAACTACATCTATTCAAGCAATGTATCTAAGCTGTAATGTGGGATATTTTCACCCTGACTGAGAAGGTTGGGGGGAAAGCCCCAGAGTCACCATAAAACTGAGAGAAGCCAGATACTCAGATTAACCGAGGTTTTCAAGGAAGGGGACGACCACGTGTTACCACGTGGAACCCAAGGAGAACGACCACAGGTCGCCACGTGGAACCCAAGAACGACCACGTGTTGCCACGTGGAAGGAACACTGGGTATAGGTCAGACCATAGTCTGATCAGACAGTATGTGTTGACCGTTAGAACTAGAGGGCGTGAGAGTGAACGAGTGTGAATGAGGACGTGAAACTGACTGCTGCAGGATGATGACTAGACTACAACATCCATCAAAGTAAAGTCCATCCAACACAGTTGTGGGAAACTCAATGCAGTTACAAAAGTCATCTATGCGAAGATGAACTGAAGACAAGAGAACTCCGGAGGGGGAATGTGTCAGGATTCAGTGTATTGGCGTCTGAACAGTGTGTTGCTTGAAAGCTGTTGAATAGGACATGGACGGGACAGACTATGTAAGTGTTTAGATGTTAATAAACAGTCATGTATCATGGAGACAGTGTCGACTCGTAACGTCTATATCATCTTAGAGTGTCAGTGAAATCGTCCAATAGACTACACCCCCTAGACAACAAG